GCCAATTTAATTGGACACCGTAAAAGTAATCAAGGCGCATTAAAACCGTTTTTATGAAAACAATTTTTGATCAGTGTTATTTTCGGCATTAAAGATAATGTCGTTTTCGCGCGTTATTGCTGCACTGGGTTCTCGGCGAATTATAAATTATAATATTATCGCATATAATTGCGTCGCCCCCACGTGGCATTTGGTTTTTTTTTTTTAACTTATCGCCGATGTGCTGCAGTATAGTTTAATATTATATTTACGTGTAAAAAACTCCACTCGACAACAGGGCGGGGAAACAGTGAAACACGATCGCCCAAAATACTATATCCTTATCATGCTTGATAAATAATGAAAATATTGTATGAAAATAATCTAACCGTATTTTGATCGGTGATTGACTAACCGTAACCGCAAATCACCAACCGCACAACACTCAGAGATTTAATCGAGGATTAACATTTGATTAGCTAACTTATGTTGAAACACGCAGAAGGTACAACTGGCCCATAAAATCACGTTTTTCCTCCATCAACTAGGTGTAGGGGCATCTGAAAATCTTTGAAAATACATTTTAAACAAAGAAGATCGCAATATTATTCTTTCGTGTGTTTTATGTGTTTAACAAATTAAATATTTAATTATTTATAAACGTACCTGGAAATCGGTAGGGTTACTCATCTCGAAAAGAGACTTAGGTACCTAAGTACATCTGGTGGCCTGCTTGCATCAAAAAACTGATCCTTGAACCGTTGCGTAGAGACACAGATGGAATTATTAAGGCCATACTTAGAAGACAAGTACTAATTAGTAATTAAATACGCAGTTGTATACAAATTGTGGTACCTCGCTGCAGTAACTTTTGTGTTCATTGCATTACACAAATATTAATGACGACAAATGTATTCTCACAATTAGTTAGTAGACATATTTATTTTGAAAATTACATGCAATTTTAATATAACGTTAATTAAATTACTTCGCGGGCTCAAAAACAAAAAGTTGCTATGTATCTAAAAATATCAAACCATTCAGGATGGCAATTTTAAACTTCAAATTGTTGTTACCCACCTATCTTCTTAAGAAATGGATGATTTTTTTATGATTGTCAAATTAACAAAGTTTTCTTCGTTAGTCGTGTAATTTGGATTTGTTCTTGGCGGACGTTAAAAATAAAAATACAATGTAAACAATTTGAGTTGAGGATCAAAAAGTTTCACTGATAGAATGTATTTTATTGGTTAAGTATCTACATATAAATATATTATGTTAATTTCACTTAATTATAACTTTTTTGTTCCGTTTTTCTATGAATTAATGTTTCCTGGAAAACAACATTTAATTAAACAGAAGAGGTTATGTCACGTTGTGTTAAAAATAAAACAATACGACGGTTAGTGAAGAGTTTTAATGTTTGATACATTTCAATCAAATACTTGTAATACTTGTAATACTCTTGTAATACACTCATCACTTAAATCGATATATCCTAATTCCAAATATCTCCATACACATATAACTTACCTATATAATTATTTCTTAAACTGTCTCGTTTATAATTATAATATATCGTTTGTAATTATAATTACATATGGTATTGTAACATGCGAATGTTTAATGCTTGTGGAAATAACCACATCCTCGAAAACATCACAATTGAATTAATTTTTAACCACATAGTAATTAGTAATATACTGAATCTCTAACAGATTAACACAGTACCTATTTTAGTTTTCATAAAATGTTAAGCAATGTGATATGACGCATAATTTTCAATTTTCAATTTCCAATCTATACACTTATCTATTCGACTTAACGTGACTTTTGCTGATTTGTATAGATCTAAATACATTATTCTTAAGATATACGGTTATGAATTGTTTCTTATTTTTTATAAACGAAAGTAATTCGAGAAATTCACATCTTAATATTATTTCTCATAATTCGTAAACAAATTATTCATTGCTACAGGTACGAAATATTTGTATATTTTATTATCGTACCTATCTATATTTATCATTCAAAAAGTAAACATAATAACACGAGTAGCGAAAAAACAACCATATTGCGCTGCAGAGTGCAGGACGACGTCAACACTCAGACGACCGACGACGTAATCGCGGGAACAATTTCGCGAGGATTCCGGGCGTGGTGGCCCGTCTCAAATGCTACGAGGCACTCGAGGCAAGTGTGAAACAGTCACTCTGTATTGACAAGACAATCATATGAATTCTTACAACTATGTATACTTATTACTATTTTTTGTACTAACTTATAGGTAAATTAGGTAAGCATGTGTTTCGAGATTTATCGACGTTCCATTTGAAATACGGTGTTGACTAATATTATGAAAATCAAACAGTTATTTACAATTATTAATTTGACTTAAACAATATTGGCTTGTAACACCAGGTACAACATATTATAATGTACGCACAAGTTATTCAAAATAACACAAATATAAATGTTGAAGTAAATTTACTCTTTTATATTCAGCGAGTTACAGCTTATTTGTATTAATTTCCTCCTAGTAATCATATTCATAGAATTTCTATTCCATTTACCCCAAACTTAATGAATATTTTTGAGTTGTACATTATGTGTTGATTATTTAAAAATGTTGACTCTTCTCCACGTGTTGAAATAATTTCGGCATCAATTTCTGTTTTGAGATAACACTAGATTTATTTGTTGCTTAAATGATTTTGTGATAAAGTGCCTTCTCTCTAAACCACTGAGTATGAAATTTAACAATTTTATAAAAACCGAAACACAAAATTCATCATTCATCAATAATTAACTATCATTATTTGACTTATTTAACCATAATATCTTATTGATCTTTGCGTTATTATTCAACATTATTGACGCGTTTCGCAAACATTCAATTTGTGATAGGTTTTTTTAAATTTGCAGCTTACCTATGCAACCTACGTAGGCGATAAAATGATGTTAGTACCTCTTCATAAAAAATAAACATTTTGTAATGCTAGTATTTCACTTATTTTCATAAGTTATACATTAAATTGAATGTCAAGTAATTCTATTTTCCCTAAATAAATAAACAATGGTAATAGCTTAAAGTTTATTATATTACATTGATTATAAAATCATAGAACATATTTTATAGATACACATAATATTGCTGTGCACGTAAATATAATATGTAAAAAAACCATGTTGGTAACTATATATTTCAATGAAAAAAAACAGTGAATTTTGTCTTAAAAACGTATTTTCATAAGTATTAAATTATTTTATTAAAACTAAATTAATATAAGGATCATATTGCGTTTTAATCTTATTAAAAATCCAGCTTAACCATTAGTGTTATAGTGCCTTTTTTGACTATGATTAGTTTTTTTTAATTAATTGAAAAATGTGGCAATGACGAAAAAGAGAGATAAACGAAATATGTTAAGATGCTGAGGAATTTTATAGTTGATTTACTGTAGAACATTATTTTTGTTTAAAGTTTCTTTTTCATTATTATTAAGGGAGAGAATAGATTTTACAATCTGTAGCGTATCACTGAACGCAATAAGTAATATGTACAAACAATATACCATACATGAACAGGACTACTATATTGAGGGGTGTCCTACTGACTCTACTTCAAAACTTGTTTTTCATCAAAGATCAAACTATTATATTATCATCATTAAAGTATATCAATATAACATAATGATATGATAAAAGAATAGAAATATTTTTATAAATAATTCGTAATATATTTTTATAATTTGATCTCAACCAGGAATAATAAGTACATTTCTATTCAAGCAAAAACATAGGTTATACCCAACGATATCCAAAATGTTAAACCATTTAACTATGTATTACTATACTCAACGCATTTGATATATGCTTATAAACAAGAAAACCAGTAAGGCAGCAAAACCACTACCTACTAAACACGTTTTGATCTTATAACTATATAGAAAAAAATCCATACGGAATTGTATCATACATAATATTGTATCAATGATCCAAATCTTATGTCATTATTATTAATTATATTAAAAGAAATGATATTATATTCGTAGAATAATAATTAAACAAAACGATACAATTGGGTATACATATTTTCAATGTAGAAATCGATATGTAATATATTACGATGTACAATCATACAACTTATATTTATAATTAATTTTGATATGATTTTTCAAATTTAAAGGAAAAAGTCTAGTTTTCTACATTTTATTCAATCATTCAGGGAAGGTAGTTCAAGCCCCAAGCAACGCTGCCCAAATGCATAATAAGTGGCATGATACATTTGCAGTGCCTAAGACGACCAAGAAACTCACGTTTTTTTTTTAAATTGACAAAATTAAACTTTCAATAGTATCTATTTATACTTGTGAATAATGTTACTTATGCATAATTTGAAATGAGTGTTACCCCTATACCTACATGTATAATACGTCACTACGTGTATTTGAACTGCATTGTTCTGACATTGTACTTTTGACACTAAAATGGAATTCTGCACACAAAGTGAAAATATTACCAAAACGCATACCTACTGCACGGTATACACATAAACCATGTACGTACCTACACGTGTGTGCGATGTATGTACAACACGAAAAAGGTCTTAGCTTTTCGAGCGAGCTTTCACTCTCTCAAATTCGAAATATGCGTAGGTACCTAACCTACCTACCGCGATATAACGTACGTGCACTACACGTCGTCGGTGCACTGAGCATAATATCGAAAAGGTTGCCTCGGCAAATAGTAATAACGATAATAATAATAATAATAATAATTGTACACCGACTAAACCTTTTCCCAGACGGCGAAAAGGGACGGGGGAACGTGGCATTTAGGTTTTAGACCGGCGACCACGACGTACGCGCGACTCCCGGCGGCCAAAATGTCAGATCGCGCGCACTCGCCACGTCTCTCCGTCGCAGAAACAGTGCACTAATGCGCACGATCGGTGCGGATTAGTTGTCGGCGGCGGCGACGGCGGCGGCGGTGACGACGACGACACGACTACGACGACGGCGGCGGCGGCGGCGACCTATTGCCATTCCTGCCGGTCGGGCGACGTAACGCGTATCGCACCGCACTTGTACGCGCAGACCGCGAGGCGAGTACACAGACGCGCACGTGATCGGTTTTTTTGTTTTCGAAAAATCAAATTTCGAACGTTACTCACCCGCACCGCCAGAGCCGAGAGACTCGATCGGAGGACTCGTACTCACGCGAGCGCGTCTGTCCGATAACTGCAGTCACTATTACTCATCGCTGCAGAAGTGGTGCCCGTGGGATTTATCGTCGTTTCGGACATTTTTTCAACCGTCAAATTTGAACCACCATGATTAGAACCATGGTTCTGATCAGTTTCGTCGCTCTTGGATTGTCCTGCGGTCTGGCGTCGGCGGGTAAGTCTGTTCTATCTCGCGTGTGCACACATTGTATAGGGACGTCCACAGCGCACGGCGGACGAGGCCACGATTTTCGGACACGGTTTTGACGGACCAATTGTTGATCTTCGACTGTGAATTCTTAGGTTATCATTTAGGTACTTTTATTTTAAACTTACCACTCGGGTTGTTCAACATTTACAAAATGACAACAGTTGATAATTATTATTTGATGTCCAAACTTCATTTCGGTTTTCTGATTCGCCATGTACTTTGTTACTAGGAGGAGGACGTCATACCCACGTGTGTCGTCCACGTATATCCGTCTACTAATACATAATATTTAAACACAATTTAAAATTCAGTATTATCCATTTTACTCTGATATTTTATATTAAAAGAGAATTGCCTATTATGACTTACTAAGTTTTAAGGGAAAATTATTTTATAAATATATTAATAATAATAACATTTGTATGGTATTTTATTTTTAAGGCACTAATCGATTTTTTTTTATGCTTAAATTTTGAAATGGGTTTTGAGTATTTTAAATGTACAATTTTAAAATTCTTATAACTTGCTTCAAAATTTAAACTAAAACCAACAAAAAGAAAGACTACGAATGGCCTGGACAATATCTTATATTTGATAATAAGACACAATGACAATACAATATTATGATTATATTATTAAGTAAACGATTAAATTTACTGTTTTTCGTGTCTATAAATATACCTTATAAATGCTTACTTACCTTTATTCTGTTATTATATTACTTGTACAAATAATTACAAAAATTGAAATAATTCCTCTGCGTGGCTGCACATTTTGATTATTTTCCCCGAATTAATTTATATTTGTGTATTCACCACGAGCCTATAAGGACGGCCAGCGTGTACACCATATTATGTCCAATGTCCATATTATATACTCGTAAAAACAATAGGTATAAAATAAAACCGCTATAATAGCCATGAGGTGGTGTGTATATGCAGGAATTGTAGAGGTTATATTATTATTTATTATACTATTAGGGTAGTCATAAATAAAGTGACATAAAAAATTAATTGAACACCGACAACAGACAATATTATACCTACATACGTAGTTGCATTAAGCTCAAGATTTTCAAAGATAATGTTACATCGTTCACGCGTTACATGTAGGCTAAATTATGTAACAATATTTATATAATTATTATAATACAATATTATTATAATATTATAGCAAACAGTTACGAAATTGTTGAATGTATAAATATCCGAGAAAAACAAAACGTAATTACGTAAATAATATGGGGAAAAAATTGAAAATCAAGGTGCATGATATTTTTTTCTTTGTCACTAAAAATTTAAACGAGTATTTTCTTTGAAATCAAAAATAAAACTTGAAGTCGCTGCGCGCTTTGAAGGGTGTTCACTGTTCATACGCTGATGGAAAAATAGAACATAGATTTTTTATTTGAATAAAAATTATTTTATGATGAATTGACATATTTTATAAGTCCCCCTACGTACAAAAGGTAGCAAACTCATAAGTTAGCCATACTATATATCAGTACACAAAAAACGTGCTTTAAAATAATAACATGCTATATTAATATACAATATTGGACACAAGTTTTCTTTGAGCTTATTTATTGCTATAGGTATGGACGTTTTTTTAATCACATAACATATAATATATATAATATGCATTGGAGCATGTATGGCAAAATCTATGTGACAACCTTTATAGATATAGTGAGGAATTCCCCTTTAACAACTGAAGTACTCTAAATCATTCTATGATATCACATTATAATAATAAATCATACCTACTCATAGTTCTTAAACATTTTCAAAACAAAATATAATTTACAATTTCTTAACGCAAACGTATTGATATGGTATTCTCTGTTTATAATAATATTGTATCGGAGAGTGATCTTTCTGATCGCAAATATTAGACCCAGATTTATAAGCCTATTGTGTTGCATAGGTATTTGTTATAACTTACTTTTTTTACTCTTCGAGTGCCTGAAAAGGTCTCGAACACCTTCGTGAGTAGGTCACCGTACAGTATATACACACTACACCCCACAACAATAAACCTTAATTCAATTAACGATAAATTCGATTTTAGATTATGATATTACCTAAGGTTATGCTAAGTTTTCACGGCTACATTGTTGTACATCATGTTAATTACTAGTTTTTACTTTGGTTATTATACCGACCAAAATATAAAAAAGGTATATTTACGAACAATTTTGGAGTGCTCGTTTTCAATCTGAAACACCCTTAAGCACTATACATTTCCACTTGCGAAAATTTAAATCATAGATATTTTAGTTTTGACGAAATTATCGATAGAAAAGTAAAAAAAATATTTAATTTAATTTATAAAATTAATTACATTATGTAGTGAACACTTTATGTAATTTTTCAAAGACAACGAAAAATTAATATTCTAAATTGAAAATTATTTTACGCTTTAGTGTTTTTGCTTTTCAAAACTTGTACCTATATTTTAATCTCTACATTAATTAATTTATTATATTACATTCAAATGAACATATTTCAAAAAAAAAGGTACATTGATGATTTTTAAGGTTTAAGCGAGGATTTATGTGTCGTAACTTATAATATTCATATAGTTGATCCAACTTATGAAGTATTAATGAGAATTTTTGTAAACAAAACAAAATTAAATGTTAGTGGGTGAATTATTGCATAAACTTAATATTATATTGTTTTCATTAATATTTTTCTCAGTTTACTTGTTTATGTTTTATCTACCAAGAACGACGAATGTTGTGTAAAAAAACAACACTCACCTTCAAAGCAATTATAATATTGAATTATATTTTAATGTATAAACTAATTCGAAAATCAACAGTTTTATGTATTTACTTAATTTATGTATATGAGTTTGTTCGAATCATCTCGATTCGTATTTTTTTATTTCTATAATTATTATATTATAAATAATAATTATTAATATTTTTTTTTACTACATTGAAACCTGTACTTTTGAATGATCGTATGTGTACAATTAAATATTAATATCATAACTTTGTTAAAAAAACATAATGTTTTTATGTATTCGGTTTTTTTTCTGAAACGCCTTATGAAATAATTTATTATTTCAATATTTGTCGTATATTTTCATTAAACCGCATATAAGCATATTATTTATAGTTATTCGTTAAAATGATTGATCTGCGCATATATGCATAATCATAATAATATTAGGTAGCTACCACCACTATTATTCAATTTCTAACACCGCAATTTACAATAAGCTTCGATTTTTGATATTTATAAGTCGATTATAATTCAATATATTTTTTTTTGTGTCATAATTGGCGCAACATTTTTTACAAACTTCTGTTTTTAATTTAGTTTTACTTATAAAATAATTATATATTTATACATGAGTTGTTTTTTTTTTATTCAAGTTTATCGATATTTAAAATAATTTTTAACCTTTAGAAATGCAGTTATACCAAAATATAATTGTGTGCACATAAATATAGGCTCGTGTTATACATATATTATATTACGTATATTAATACGATATTTAAAATGTAAAATGTATACAGTAATTAAATCAAATAATTATTTTAAGTTATAAATCGTATAAAATATGAACTGTAATGTTATGCTTTATTTAAATTCTAAACGTTCCATTTACACAAAAAAAAAAATTAGCGCAAAGGGTGTAATATGATACTTAAATCATGTTTATGTTATTAGGACATGTACCTAGTGCGTTTTCAAAGTCTGATATTTTGTTTTGATACTAAAAATATTCACGCACAAGTCTATAAACCAGTGCGTTAACTATAAAATAGTAATAATAATATGCTTTACAGCCTAATTGCAAGGGTAGTATTTACTATTAATTGTTACCTGCACATCTTAACGGACTATGGTCTAATAACTCTTCAATATAATATGCATACATTTATTATTAAATAATTGATTTATTCAATAGATGTTGTCTGCGGTAACTGGTATAGTGGTATACAGTGACCAGTGATATAAAACATGAATGCTTAATAGATATTTTATATATATATAGGTATATTATTGTACAATCTTATTTTATACATTATACCATGAACTCGATATATAATATTCAAATTAAACCTTACCTTAACTTCCTTTCCTGCACAGCATTCGCATCAATAAGTAAGCTAAATAATATAATATTAAAATAATAATTTATTTTAATATTGAACATGTCTTGAATAAAACCAACTTAATTTTTTTTTTTAATTTAACCCACCCTCATAAATTATAAGCTTTCAAATCTACAGCTATTGTGACCATACCGCAGATAACCCGTTGATTGATTACATATTTTTCAATTTAAAATACTATACATCATTATGTGTATTGTACATGGGTAGGTACTTAAATTTTCAAAGCATTAAAATTTAAAGTTAAAATACACGATTGTAGAAATGCATATTGTTATTTATAACTCCTCGATGTTACCGAAAATTGATGACAAATCATACTTGCACTGAGAAACAATACATCGTAATTTTCGTACATTGAATTAAAAATTCTTTGTATAAATTAATATTTATTTAAAGTTTTTTGTTTATCGCACATCTAATAAATCATTGAACCATAAAAACAGTAATGGTTGGTAATTAATAACGATACCCAAAGTCGGCATGGTTTTATTAGAAATTATCGTACATTTCTTCACTTTTTATCGCTAAATTATTTAAAAAATTAAAAAATCGGTATTCTTAAGTACTGAAAATAATGTGTATTCAATATCCAATAAATTTATTGGATTATTTATACTAAAAGTATACCTACGACAATTATTATGAAGCGCGTTTGCCACGAAAAAAGTATTTTCTGTAGATCAATGAGGTATATAAAGTAATAAACTAATGAGCAATAAACACAAATAATTGTAAAACCGATACAATAGGTTGATTGAAATATTAAAATATGAAGAACATGACATTGTATCAAAATAAAATCAATATTTAACAATACGTTTGCTCA